GGTTCAGAATTGATCCTTGAAAATATGATTTTCTAAATGGGGAATACGATTCCCAGTTGAAGGGAGAGAAAAATTTTTGAAATTCGCCCCTTATTCCGCAWTCTTTTGGGYRTCCATAGGATGGATCTCTCATCCCTTCAGAAACCCCCCTCACTCACCTACAGTTTGTTGATAACACGATTCTATTTTGTGAAGGCGGTAATGTGAGCTTGATCAGGAACTTGAAGCTGGTGATACAACTGTTTGAGCAAATGTCTAACTTGAAGGTTAACATTGGAAAAAGTTGTATAGTGGGGGTGAACCTAGAGGAGGGAGAGCTCAAGGAGAGTGCTGAAATGTTGGGGTGTGAAGTTTCGGGGTGGCCTTTGAACTACTTAGGGTTTCCATTAGGTGATAATCCCATGCGAAAGAGCTTTTGGAACCCGGTGGTGGAAAGGTTTGAAAAAATATTGGTATTTTGGAAAAAGAACTACCTCTCTCTCGGTAGGAGAATTACACTAATTAAGGCCACGCTTGCTAACTTACTCATCTTTTTCCTATCGGTGTTTAAAATCCCAGTGAAGGTTGCTAACAGATTAGAGAAGTTTATAAGAGATTTCCTATGGGAGCCAGGAGAGGAGAAGAGTGATCACAGAGTTAGCTGGGAGATAGTGTGTAGGAGTAAGTCTTGTGGTGGCATGGGGCTTGGGAGTATCAGGAGAAGGAATATGACTCTGTTGGGGAAGTGGTATATGACTCTGTTGGGGAAGTGGTTGTGGAGGTTCCCTATGGAGAAGGAGAAGCTATGGGCTAAAATAGTGGCAAGTATACATGGGTTGGAGGACAATGGATGGGACGCTGGAATTAGAGCTAGGACCACAAGCAACTCTCCTTGGAAAGCCATTCATGACCTACTACCAGTTTTCTTCCCTAATATCAGGTATGACTTGAATTCCGGTAAYTCCATAAAATTTTGGGAACAAACCTGGGTGGGGAGCGCCCCTTTAAAGGATCAATTTCCTTCTTTGTATGCTCTTTYYGATTTGAAAAATGAGCCGATCTCGTCTTTCATCACCCCGTCCTCTTCCACTTCTGGGATTGGGTGGAACTTGGGTTTAAGAAGGGATTTGAGAGACTCAGACCTCGATAGTATTTCGAGCCTTATTGCACTTCTTGATAACGTTGTCTTAGACCCCACTAGGGAGGACTATAGAATTTGGACACCTACCCCCAATGGCTTCTTCTCTTGTGCCTCGTTCTTCAAAGTCTTAAGTCAGTCCACCAGTCCTACCTTTCCCCCTTTCCCTGTTGGTGAGGTTTGGTGCAAAGCAATACCTCCTAGGGTTGGTAGTTTTTGTTAGGAAGCCTATCTGGAAAGAATTAACACTGGTGATCTACTCCAAAAGAAGAGACCCAATACTTGTTTGTCACCTCAATGGTGTGTTCTATGTAAAGCGGATGGGGAGACTGGTTTTCACCTACTGGTGTCTTGCCACTTTGCGAGGTCAATTTGGGATTGGGCTTCCTCCTTATTTGGACGCAGTTGGAATCCCCCATCAGACATGGGCCTTTTCTCCCCTACCTTTTTCAGGTGGCGGATAAAAAGGGGAAGGATAATGTGGAGAGGACTAAGGGCTGCAGTATGTTGGACATTGTGGGAGGAAAGGAACTCCAAGATATTCTCAGAAACCCAAAGAGGAGGAGCAGATCTGAGGGCTATCATAGATATTAGGGTGGTACAGTGGCTGAAATATTTGGAACTATTCACAGATTACGTTGTGGATGACATGTTGAGGAAGTGGGGTGAAATTACAAATTGCACACAAACCAAGTCAGTAATGAAAGTGGTTTGGACTCCCCTACCTAGTGGATTCTTGAAATTAAACATTAATGGATGTAGTAGGGGAAATCCATGGCAATCGGGGATTGGAGGTGTTTTTAGGGACAAAAATGGGGTCATCTCTGCCATGTTCTCAGGCCCAATTGGAGTGGGTGACTCCCTTAGAGCTGAGATCCTTGCAGTTATGGAAAGAGTCCGGAAAGCTAAGGAGTTGAACATCAAGAAACTCATAATTGAAGGGGATTCAGAGGTGGTGATAGGATGGCTGACTAAAGATCAAAATGGTTTATGGAAGTATAACAATGGGAGGAGGAAATTCATGTGGCTGGTGCGGGAGATGGAAGTTAAGACATGTTGGGTTAAAAGATCGGCTAATTCCCTAGCTGACGGTTTAGCTAAACAAGGGGCAGAAAGGGATTCACTGTTTTGGACTAAGCTGTAACTTTAGTGTATTCTTTTCTCTTTTTCTTCTTTTTTCTTTCTTTTATGAAGCTCTTAGTGACTCTTGGAAGATAAGTGTGTGTCTTCCTCCTGTAAATTTTCTACTGATGATTTAATGAAAGTGTTATTGACCTTCAGTAGTTCAGTGCTTAGGCAACAAGGTACTGTGGTATGATTCAATCGTACTAAATTCCAGCCATGTTTAAATTGATCTTTCTAAACCCAAGAAAAATTCAACAAACAAACTTCAAAGAGCACTAAAGATTACTAGAATTTCCTGCAGATACATTTATGTGAATAATACCTTCCAAAAATAAAAGTGTTTGCATTCAAATATGTTCCAAGGGCTTTTTTCCTTTTTTGGAGAGGGCATTTTATTTAAATGAATCAATATCCAATATGGCAATTTATGCAATGCACACAATGGACATTCATCCAGTATATGATACAGTTCACAATTATTTTGGACACAGAATAAGCATCAAAAGATACCTTTGCTACAAAAAATCCATCCATGTTATGAACATGTGGGTAGAAACGCCTTGTCTTTTCCAATGATGGATGAAACCGGTTCTCCCTAAAGTGGGTAAATCTGAGGAAAGAAATAGGTCAGTGAAAATATAGGAAACCACAAGGTCACTGATAACTAAGGAGCATGAAAAACTTGAGTTACCCAGGACGGCCAAAGTCTAGTCCACATGGCACAAGTTTTACATCACGCTTTTTGAGTGCATAGTCTATAACTGCTTCATTCTGCAAGTCACAAGCACAGAACTCAGATAAATTGACATTACCAATCATCAAAAGAGGAGCCCCCGTTTCTTAACAATAAAAAGAGGCTACATACCTCAGGAACCATTATGGAGCACGTAGAATAAACAATGTACCCCCCAGATTTGGACTTAGCATCAACCATGTCAATTGCTGCAAGAATCAATTGCTATGAAACAGATACAAAAGTAAGTTCTTATTGATAGAAAAATATAAGTTTTGGAGTCACAAACTAACCATTTTCACCTATTGAAGGAAATTAATTGCAAGTATAAACAACAAAGAGAACCAGTAAAATATGTCTACGATCATGATTACATTTTTTCAGGAAAAAACCGTTTCTCCAACAACCTAATCAGAAAGTGCATGCAGTTCAATGTTGGAAGCTTGGCATCAAAAACTTCGACCTTTTATCCGTAGAATTTATTAACAAGAAAGAGGGAAAGGAATTCAAAACACAAGGAAGGTAGATAAAAATAAATAAATAAATAAAAGGACCTTCTAGCCCTCAGTGCCCAAGGATGCCAAGCCCCACCTCATATATATGGATTATGGAAAAGCTCATAACAAGAACAGCCTCCCCCACCCCCCCCACCCCACACACACACACAGGGAAAAGGCAAACAAGAAAGCAAAGATAATGACATGAAATCCCTCTCCGAGAAAAGTTAATTAATTGAAAAAAATAAATACCTTCTGCAGAAAAGCACACTTCTGAATATCTTCTGAACTTTTAGAAACTTTTACAGATTCATCCTTAGATATAACCTGCATTATAAATAAGAATAGCATGGAGTGTGTTGTTTGTCAAGAAACACATCAGAAAGAAAAAAGCGCCACTGAAAAAATGAAGTAAGTATTTATCAAAAAAAAAAGAAAAAATGAAGTAGGTAGTGAGACAAGGTCCAGTCAACTTACCCCAGTCCCACTACAGGGGGCATCTAGTAACACCCTGTCAACAGAATTTAGACCCAAAATCTTGGGCAGCTGAAAAAAAAAACCAAAAATAGAAAAGAAAAATTCATATAATCAGCCATATTACATTTAAAGTGTAGTGAAGCCTTACCACAGTATGCAGATATGCAGAAATGAACATTTATATGCATGCTTGCATATAAATGCACAACATACATATGCATGCACGTGTAAAGTTGGAGGCTTTCAAGAAGACCCTTCATAAGACATGTAGCATGCTTCATATAGTCATATGTGGAAATGACACATGTATCCATTCAATAAACAAAGTAAATACATTGGCTAAAGAATGTTTTGCCAACAAAACATTAAGAAAGTGCATGGCATTCATCAAAACAATAAAATAGTAATAGTCATTATAGAGTAGCAAGTATTGATGGATGTGGAACTTGCACTGACCTCCTTTCCATCATAGTTGGACACTATGGCATTTGTCACACCCATGCGTTGTAAATTTGCAGTAAGTGACTTGAGCCTGGACTCCTTCATCTCATTTGCATAAATTATTCCTGATGAAAGTTGCATTAATGCACCAAATAAATTAAACATAACATAGAGTATTCATAAGACACTAATGAAGTAAAGAAGTGGAAGTACATAAAATGAATGTTAAGGATGACTTCACACTAAAAACATCTCAACAGTAAAAATATACCTAGAATGTAAAATAAAATATCACTGATATGCATTATAAGCCAATTTAGCTTCTCAAACAGGCACAAGTACAAGAATATCCTAAATTGATATTAACCTTGTTTTGACAATTTGATAAAGCGCATCTCATAACATGCTTAGCCTTATGACCTTAAAATCACCTGATGGGGATCTTCTGACAATATGAAAGAAAACTTTTGGAGTTGGATTATGTGGATAAGGAGAAAATATAAGATAAAGATCCTAACCAATAAAATATGGTAACCCTTGTACAATTAAATTCTGTACAAATTTTTATATGGGCAGTGTACTAATTTTAGGTGTAACACAGCAAATCATTTCACTGTATACATAAGGATAAAAGGGTGTAAAGTGCATAAAAGAACACTTTTCTAGTTAGAGAGCAATAAAATGAGTTTGGGCAAACCACAAAAGCAGTGGGACAATAATGTGTTCACTGCTATAGGGTTTCAAGTGGCAGCCTTTATCATGTATTCTTCACAAGAGGCTTCTTCTACTTCTCTCTCAACTTCCATGAGCAAAACAAAGTATCATCTCTCACTATGGCATATTAGGGGCTTATTTCTCTTTTTTTTTAGATAAATGAATGGTAATTTAATTAAGAAAGTGTACAATCACCCTAAGAGGAGGCACAAGATGTTATCTCCCCTTAGAGATTAGAATATGGTCACACTCTTAACAGAAATACAACTATAAGGTATCCCAAAACAATTCACCCCTTGACACCCTTTGTTTAGCCAAAGAATCAGCCATAGCATTGGTCGATCTGCTAACTCGCTTGAATCTGATTGACATGTTCCTTGTAAGCCAATTAACTTTCTTGAGATCTTTGTAGCCCCAGAAAATTGTTTCTGGATCCAACAACCAACCCACTACCACCTTGGAGTCCCCCTCAACTATCAAGTGCTCCACTCCAAGTTGATTTGCAAACTATATTCCTTGTACTAAAGCCAGTATCTCAGCCCTTATAGAGTCACCAACTAACATTGGTCCTGAAAATAAGATATTGCTATCCTTGTCTCTCAGAATCCTTCTTACACCCAAGGGTGCTGGATTACCTTGATTGCTCCCATCAAAGTTCAACTTTACCACTCCCTCTGGAGGATGTCTCCATTCTGCTTGTAATCTATTCTTTTTGGAGACTGTGCAGGCTACTTCTGCCCAACTATTCCAAAAATTGTCAAAGTAATAATTCGCAAAAAGATCTGAAGTTTTCAGCCTAATAATTGCTCTTGTCAGTATGCACTCCTTTACTTCAGCTAGGCTTCTTTCCTTTTCTTGGAATATTTTGGCATTCCTCTCCTCCCAAATGGTATACATAATAGCTGCTTTAACACACTTATGTTTCTCTCTCTTTGTTGGCCACCCAAAAGTAGTGGATCAAAAAGCAGCTATACTTCTGAGGGCAAGTTAGACCTGCACCCGAACAACATAAAAACCTAATTCCAAATATTAGTAGCAAAGGAACAAGATATCAACAAGTGGTGACGGTCCTCACTCTTTACACAAAATACACCAATTTGGGGACAAACACAAATAAGGTCTCTTCTTTTGCAGGTTATCCTTAGCATTGATCTCACCATAATAGGCTTTCCAACAGAAGACAATTATTTTAGGAGGGATAGGCCTTGACTAGATTTTCTTTAACTGGGAACACCCTAGAAGAAGGAATAGAACACAGAGACTTTAACAAAGAGACACAAATGAAGGAGACACGAGGGGTCAAAGACCAAATTCTTTTATTAGGTTTAGGGCGGTCCAAACAAATAGAGTCCAGAAGAAGTAAAAGCTTAGAAACATAAGCAAATCCATCATCCCTAAAACCTCTAGCAAACCCAAAGTTCCAATTTAAAGTCATCGGGAAAGCCAAGAGTGAAGGAACCTTGAAACAAGCTTCTCTTTAAAGAGGGAGATAGAATAAAGAGAGGAGAAGCAGTATTTTAGGGGTTAAGTGCCCAACCAAACATCTTCCCGAAAAAGAACAAAACATCCAAAGTACCTATCATACTTCACAAACCTGATGAATTTAGGGAGGGTGCCAAAAATTGCCTTCCAAGGTGTTGTGAGTAGAGCCCGTCGAGATACCCCAACATCCCAGCCAGTTTTAGAGTAACAATGGATATTAACCACCTTATTCCACAATCTCTTTCTTTACAAAGGCTACCTCCAAAGCCATTTGCTTAGAAGACCTTCATTCTAATTAACTAAATTCCCTAACCCTAAACCCCCTTCTTACTTCAGCTCACCACTTCCCACCTAATCAAGTGATCCTTTTTCTCTTCCCTTGGCTCCCACAAAAAGATTCATCATCAATTTTTCTATCCTCTTAGCTTCCCTATTAGGTATCCTAAAGACTAACAAAAAGTAAATTGGCAAGTTGGCAAGTGTTTCTCTAATTAAAGTTACTCCGCGCCCCAGAGAAATGTAGTTCTTCCATGCCTCCAATCTTTTTTCAAACTTTTTTTTATCAATATCTTTTTTCAAACTTTTCCACAACACAGTTCCAAAATCGACTTTCCTTGGGGTTAGAAGTTAGAACCTAGGGGCAGTCCCAAATAGAACAAAGGCCACTTAGAACAGGTACAATCTAAACAAGAAGCAAATAGATTCCATCTCCTCCCCATCCAGGTTTAACCCCACCACACAACTTTTCTCAAAATTGATTTTCCAATTAGAGGCACCCTCAGAGCTTCTAAAGCATTACCACCCCTAGTTATGAACCGAAACTTTACAAGGTCAAAACAAGGGAAAATGTTCGCATAAATTTGATCTATCCACGAGTAATCTTTGTTGGAGTCATTAAGCTTATCTATAAGCTCTTTGGCATCAGAAAAAAATTGAGATTTGCTTCAATTGTAGATCGCTGGCTTGTTGCAGTCCTCGAATTATAGCTTGAACTTCTGCATTATAGCTGTTGATTGCTTTAATTTGATGGCCTCCTGAAGCAATATAAACATTTGTTGAAGCATGTTGGAGAACATACCCAATTCCGGCTGTACCTGTGTTAGGGTCATATGATCCATTTGTAAATAAATAAAAGTAAGCATTTTTGCTTTTACAAGGAAGATTAGATGTTGTTGATGGACCGTTGAGATGCAAAGTGTTCTACTCATGAGTTCCCATAAACCTCTTGATTTGATTTAAGATGTCGTGGGGTTGAAGTTGGATATTATTATGCAGCTTGTCAAGTCTGAACTGATGGGAAGCCGAAGGGGAGAAGTTTTTCATTTGGTGAATAGATGGAAGTCTGAACTGATTATTGAAGCGAAGAAATTTTTATTTGAGAGCGGAAGGGCCAGAGGAAAGAACCTGTTAAAAATTAGGGAGGATGGAAGGCCACGATACTATTGTTTGAGGAAGCAGTGGCATGGTTAAAGGGCTTTATTGATGGTGTTATACGATCGGTTAGGACAATAGGATGGAAAAATGTCTTTGAACTGGGAAAGAAGAGGTACGAAGTGGAACTGAGATGCAATGGTAAAGGCTGGTTCATCATGGTCACAGAATATTCCGACGCAAGAAGACAACTGCTTTGCTTACCGGAAGGGAAGAAGAAACAAGGTTGGATGGCGTTGCAGCAGTTTCTTGTCTCTGTCGATGTGGTGTTGGAGCAAGAACAAAGTTCAGCACCCATTAAAAGCCTGGAGAAGCCGTTGAAGAAGAGCACATGCAGTGATGGTGAACTTATTTCGAGCTCTAATACAGGGGTGAAGCTGTGGTTTGAGGGTGAGAAAGAAGACTGGGAGCGGAGAATGGTGATCTCAGC